TATTTATGTTTTCGGAAATATATTTGTACCAAGTTAATAAGACTATTTTTTTCTTAGTTAATCCAGACATTTTATCCAAAAGATAAAGGGGGTTTATCTTATCCGTCTTGTCCGGAAATATGGATTTTTTATTTAATGTAAATTTTGATTATACATATTAAATTTGTGAATATATTTTTATACGATAATATTTATGCTAAGAGAAAATTGCATTATTTAATATTACACCATTTTTAAACATTTATTTTCATAGTAAAATATCTTAGTCTAATAATTAATTGGTGATTGATGTTTTCATACCGAATATGCAAGCTCATGTCACAGAGTTTCATGCTTGGAAGCAAAGAAACAACGTTCCCCATAATCTCCAATCCATTCCAGCTCAAACAATCTTCAAGTGTGTTGACAAGGACATCCGCAATATCATCAATGCACGAAGGCAAAGGCGTCAGTTTGTTAACTTGATGTCGTTTTGGTTGAGGTAATGTCATATGGTTAATTTGTGAATTAAAAGAAATACAACCTTCGGTCATGAACCATGAAGGTATAAGAAGAAGAAAAAGAGAAAACTGGTTAATTTTCTGTAATCTAGCTTCTATAGAAATAAAAGAAATAAAAGCATGAAGGAACCATCTTATGTAATCCAGCTCCTATTGAAATAAATATAAGCATAATTTTTTTTTTATTTAAATGGTTAATTTGTAATTCGTCCTATGTATTTGTTCTCCTTGTTTTTTATTTCTTTTTTCTTGTCAAGGAAACATGTTTTAGGTTGTCTATATGTATCAAAAGAACAACAATAACTTTTCGACATAGAAGTCGCCCTAGCCGTCACGCCCACTTGCTTGGAGATCTCGCCGGCGATCCAGTCTTGACCAGCGTGCGGTGGCTTCTTTACCGGTCAGTCTTCCTTCTTTCTTGTTTTCATCGACTTTATCTCTTTGAATGTCTCGATCTTTCTCAGCGGGTTCAGGTGAAGAGTTTCCGCCTTTTTGGCCGCCATCGGAGGAGCAGGCCTCGTCTTCCGGTGATGCCGTTCCCTTGATAGTCAACGGACGGTTTCACAATCGCATCCGTTGCTGGTTCGTCAAATCCGAGTCTTTGGCTTTATTCCGTGACATCTCT